GTATTCTTACTGCTAGTCTTCTACCTTCCAATTCTCCCTATGTCTCCCACCCCCCTGCCACTCCCCATCCTCTAGCTGCAGTGATCTTTCTTAAGCTCTAAAATACATGTAGTACATTTAATGTCATTGACTGTCAGGCCCTCATTTGCCGGTTGGAACTGTCTGCAGCCTCTCTGAATGTGTAATACCTTAAGGAAAATGGATTTTATTATGTTTTTGCTCTACCTTCAGCTCGAGTTCATCTTTTCCCTCAGAACTCCTATAATCTCGGTATTTATATTTTTATTACTGAATGTACCACAGTCACCTTGTATCTTTTGAATGCCTTTCTCCTTGACTAAATGATAGCCTTACTAAGGGCCGGGAGCATCTCATCTCTTCTCTCCTTTTGATTCCCGTGGAATTTTGTGAAATGTAGTCATTCAGCAAGTGTTTTATCATGGAGCTGAATGTTTTGCCAAACAATCAGACATATTGCTCTGACTAGATAGATTGCCAAGAACAGATTAACTCTGGCTGTGAAATCAAGGTAGATATTGATAAGCAGAGAGATCTAGGAGGGTGAGGTTGGAGAGAGGAGCCAGCATTGACATAAATGCCAGAGCCTGGAGCGATGTTTTCCTTTTGGGCACAAGGTGGCAGAATATGCCCATTTGAATCATTGCATAAAAGGCAGCTTTGTGAGGCTGAAATTTTCTGCCCTATTTTGGAAATCTATGTTTGTTTAAAAAAAAAAAAAAGAGAAGCAGTGCAGCTTGTTGGCTGAAACCTGTATTTGGATATAGCGCAAACCACAGTCTGACTGCAGGCTGTGGTCCTGGATCTCTGGTCCTTTAGTTTTGGGCTAAGCCCTCTATGTCAGGATCCCATAGCACTGCATCGAGGATGTTGAAACATTCTGAGTTTCCCTTAAATGGATGAAGAAAATCTGAACATTGTCAGTGTTTGAAATGAATATGCATATATACTGAAGCTTGGTGAGAGAAAGCAAAATTCATCCAGAGAATTGAAACATACAATTTCTCCACTAGATAGCAGACTGACGAACTTTGGAAACTCCTGCCTCTAATAACCCACCCAAAGAAAACCTTTGTTTTCTCTATCAGTTCATTTTTTTTCTTTACAATGCCAACTGTTTTTCATGTGATCAGACCATTTGCATGTAAAAGTCTGATATAATTTGGGATATAATTAAAAAGTTGATTTTGGGCCACCTGGGTGGCTCAATAGGTTAAGTGTATGATTTTGGCTCAGGTCATGATCTCACCGTTTGTGGGTTTGAGCCCCATGTCAGGCTCTGTGCTGACAGCTCAGAGCCTGGAGCCTGCTTCAAATTCTGTGTGTGTCTCTCTCTCCCTCTCCCCCCCCCTCTCTGCCCTGCCCCCTCTCAAAAATAAATAAACATTTAAAAAGTATATTTCAATTCATTTATCTGCAAATTAAATTCTGATATAGTTTTCTTCATTCATTAATTGCTTCCAGTTTGTGTGTGTGTGTGTGTGTGTGTGTGTGTGTGTGTGTGTGTGTGCATACACCAAAATTGTCTTTTATGTAAAAAAAAAAAAAGCAAAGTGCTAGATATAGTTTATTCTGGAATTCTGATGTGACTAATTTATTAGATGGTACATTAACTCTTTCCATTGATATTGATTTATGTTATGCTTAGAATTCTGATGGAGAATAAATGACAGAAAATATATAATCATTGTTTTCAGGTTCTACTTTCAGGTTCTCTTTCTTGCTGTGTGTGTGTGTGTGTGTGTGTGTTGTGTGTGTGCATGCATGTGTATATATATGGGTGTGTATATATCCACACACACATATTTGTATATGTGCATGAATATATACACATACTCTCTCCATTTGTGTCTATATATGCATACATTCATATATTATATGTATCTATTGTTGTGATATATGGCAGTACAGTGAATATTTAAGAATAAAGAGTCTAGAGCCTGGCTGTCAGTATACAAATCCTAGTTTACTAGTTGGAACACCTACTAACAGTTCTATGCCCCCAGTTTCCTCATCTGTAAAATGGGGATAGTAATGGTACCCATTACAATAGAATGATTGTGCAGATTAAAAGATTTAACAGAGCATGGCACATGCTATTATTATTTGTATGTGGAGAATCTGATTTATTCCATAGCTTATATTGCACCTTTTATTTAGTAAGAAACTGCCTTCTATCAACCTAATATGCAGTTTAGATTTTTTGAAGGCACCATAATGATGTATTGACATTGATGTTTTTCATTTGTGTTATATAGAGAATGTATAGTCATGGTTTCTGCTGTGGGGGAACTTACATCTTCAAGAGACAAGAGAAGTAATAGGCACCTTTTTCTTTCTTCTACCTCTTCTCACTGAGAAGAATGTCAGAATGCAGAGGTATATCAACTATGAATTCTGTCACAGACTCTGAGTCTGGAGTTCTCTTTTGTCCAGCAAGAGAACAGATGCAGAATTGAATATAAAATCTGTCCAGAGAATTGAAACATACAGTTTCTCCACTAGATAGCAGACTAGGACTGATGAACTTTGGAATGTCTGAGAGAAGACAAGAGCCCCAAACACGAGTTTCATCTCCATATTTATTGAGCTCACAAGATACTGCCCATGTGGTGAACGTGGAAAAAAAAAAAAGATTTTACACGTGTGGACGTGAGAAAACAATCAGACAGTAATCATTAACTTGTGTGTGTAAGAAGTAAAGGGTCTGGGAGGCTAGTGGAGTTTGTGATCAAAGTACAATAGTATATTGGCATCAGATGGACAGTAATTTCCTGCAGGTGATATAACAAGTTACTCGTGATCTCCTTACAATCTCTCGCTAGCTAACCTTGGTTGCTTTTGCCCCGTGGTGACGGCTTTCCGCCCTAAGCTTTTTTCTAACCCATTTATGTAAGTAGAACCTATTTCCCCACAGAATTCAATTCAGCTATCAATAACCAAAGAAGAAGGAGGAGAAGAGGAAGAAGAGTTGCTAAAGAAGAGAATTGTTTTATTCACAGAACAAGCACTCTGGAGGTAGGAAGCTGATGGAGCTGGTATCTCTGTGATTATTTTGTCCTTTTGTGTTAGAAAACCTACACTTCTCCGGTGTGTCTGTTTTACTGTCACACTTCTACCACACTCACGATTCTTTTCGCATGAAATATGTGGGTTTTCCCCCCACAATAAGCACTTCTGTGACACCAGCTATGTGTCCTACAATTTATCTCAATTCTGACACTATCTACCCAGAGATGCATCAGATCCCACAGGTTAAGTCCTTGGTTCCATAACACTCTCCCCCTCCCCAATTCAGATGCCAATTTTCAAGTCCATGTTGTTACCCATGCTTCTCACCTCTTGATTATAAATCAGAGTTTTTCCTACAAACCCGTCACTGGGTTTGGTTAATTTGCTAGTTCAGCTCACAGCATTCAAGAAAACAGTTTACTTGCTGTTGACCAGTTTATTATAAAAGAACATGATAAAGGACATCGATGAACATCCAGATAGAGGAGAGGTGAAGAATTAAGTTTGTGGGGACAGACACAGACCTTCCATGTCTTCTCCAGGTAGGCTATCTCCTGTCACCTCCATGTGTTCACCAACCTGAGAGCTCTGTGAACACCATACTTTTGAGGTGTTTATAGATAGAGGCTTCATCATCATAACTATTAACTCCATTTCCTGCCCATTTTCCTTCTCTGGAGAATGAGTAGGGGGTAGTGGGGGGAGGACTGAAAATTTCAAGCTTTTAGTCTAGTCTTTCTGGTGACCAGCCCCTATTCAGGAGTCCACCGAGAATCACCTCATTAAAACAAAAGGCTGAGGAAATTGCAAGGTATTTAGAACTCTGTGTCAGGAACCAGGGTCAAAGACCAAATATTAGAACAAAACTATCTCCTAGTGCTTTTAGGAAATTTCAAGGGTTTTAGGAATTCCATGCCAGGAACTGGGGGCAGAGACCAATATGTATATTTTCTGCTATCTCATGCCTTTTCTTCATGGTCACAAAATGGCCTTTGCATCTCCAAACATCATGTTAATGTCAAGCAAAGGAGACTAGGGTAAGAAAGGAGGAAGCATGGTACTAGCTGTATAAGCTTTTCTTATCAGGAAGAGCAAAAGCCTTCCAGAATTCCACATCCCTCCCTTACCAGGTGGCTTGGGTCTAATTTCCAGAACAATGTCGTAAGGCCATTACCTGGGAAAGCATCTGTATGAAAGATTGGGAAAGCAAAATAGGCTGGACATGATTTATGCATCTGCCAAAGTAAATTTTTGTCTAGGCTTTGCATTTGTCCTCTCCTCAGATTGTCCCTGTTCCTCTCTGCACCCCATCCCCTTCTTTGTCTGGAAGGAGGTAGAACTAATAAAAGTGATAACGTGGAAATTTGTTTCAGGAGCTAAAATTTGCCTTATAAGAAGTTATAAATGTACAACAGAGGAAGGGAGTGTAGAGAGACGTGAAGCAGGGTATCTTCGCTGGAGCAGAGGGGGGTCAGAGGAAGAAGGAAATGCTGGCATAAGCACAGTGGGATTCGGGAAAATGGTTGAGATTTACTCAAGGGATTAACTTCATAACACTGCCTTTGCCAGAAACAGAACTAATCTTGTTGCCTCTGAAATGAAGCACCACAGACAGCAGACTTTCTTATAGATTATTTAATTACAGATTATCATAGGAGAGAGATTGTTGATTTTCATATCTATAGAGCAAACAACAAAGGAAGGCTTTTGTGACATTCACAAACCATTTTTAAATGACTCCTATTCCACAAATCCTTAATTTTTCTTCTTTAAAAAAAGCGTCATAACTTTGAATTTCTTACTGTGACCATTATAACAATAAATCTCGTGAGGAGGCCAGGTTTCTTGGCTTACTCAATTGTCCGCTCTGCCCTTCCTCGTCTGGTCTGCTCTCAGGTGACTCTCCTTTTTCGTCCCATCATAGACGACTAGGTATTTGAACTTTCATCCTGCTGGAAACTTCTAGTGGGCTAGTCACCATCACTCTCACTGGAACTGCCACTGTCAGATGAGTCACTACTGTCATGCTTTCTAGGAGGGCTAAACCTTCTACTGGAATGGGGTTTTCTGTAACCCCAGGAGCCTTTTCTTTGTGGCACACCCTTATTCCGTGTAGAATTTTGTCTGTGGGGAACATAATGATTTCTTCTGCTGTGTGTTATTATAGTCCCCTCATTATTGAGGCCATTATGGGAACCTATTTCATTTTTAATTTCATTATCTAGATCTCGAGAAGGAACAAGCCGGCCCTGACTTTTGCCCTTACTGGGAAATCTTTGTTTTTCATTCGAGATTGCTTGATTCCTATTAGAATGCTCTGTGCCTTTTCTACTAGTACCTTTGCCATTTTTTGGAATTTCATTATAATTAATACTTTCAGCTATATCACTACTGCCTTCTTTTTTTTTCTCTTTTGAGGGTGGATGAGGGTAATGAAACTCTACTTTTCCTTGGTGAGCATTTTGGCTGCTGGCATCTACTCTGTTTCCTTCTTTTCCAGGGAGTTCCTTAAAGTTGGTGCTACCTATGATGTCATTGCTGCCCTCCACTACTAGGCTTACATCAGCTGTGTTTGCTTCTTTCTTTGTTTCATCCCTGGTTCCAATCGTATTTCTGCCATTTTCTTCTTTTTCTGGGATCTCATTGTAACCTGGTCCTCTTGCATCGGCTTCACTCGGGCCAGAAAACTCTGTTTGAATATCTGCACCTTTTAGGTCAGGACCAATAGGTTCCTCTTTACCAGAAATGTCCTTAAAAGGTTGACCATCTCCACTGAAAGGAGAGATATCATTGTCCCCCCTCCCTTGAAGATCTGGGTAACCACTGCCTTCAAAATCACTGGGGATTTTTTTGAGTTTTGGGAGCTGTTTTGAATAGTCAGTGTTGTATTGAGTAAGGCGTGTGCTTTTGCTTTTAACTGGAATGTTCTGAGCTTGGGGATCTCTTTGATAATTCTTCCTATCTTTTGAGGGGACTTTAACATAGTTCACACTTGCTGGGATTTTGCTTAGAACATTTCTGTGTTGGTTCTCTTTGTTTTCTTCTGCCAAGAGTTCAGTCACAGTCCCTGGCTCCATTATATGTTGCATATTATTTCTAATAAGAGCTGTACCATATTCTTCTTGGTCACGTAGTTTGCTGATAGCAATGTCTCCATCAACCCCATTATTCCCAGTGGATTCAGGATAAATGTATCTCTTTTGGTCACTGTGGGCATTTTCTTTGTTATTAATAGTATCATCTTCATTTGTTGCCTGTCTGTTTTCAAAAGGAGTTTGGGTTTTGCTACTTTGATTATTTTCATTGGCTCCAACAATGGACAAGCTTTTCTCTCTTTCCTGGACAATGTTTTCTTTAGGTGCTGGTTCTTGATTTCTTCTCTTACCAGAATTGTGATGAGCAATACTGTCTTTCTTCTTTTCCTCCTGCTAAAGTGTAATTTTCAACATAAAGTATTATTTTGTTAAATTTTAAAAATTTAGTAATTCTTAGGCAATTTAAAAAGAATTACCCACCAGATACTTAAAAGAAAGACTATTAACTCAATAGAGGTTTGTTGGTAGAGATAATTCTGGAATGGCCAAAGTAAATTTCATGGACAAAGAATGAGCAGGGCTGGAAGGATGGGTAGGATCCAGATATATGGTAGGAAAGCAGGGAGAATATTTTAAGAATAAGTGGCACATTTAAATGTTTGGAAATAGGAAACATCTGAAAGATAATACGAATAAAACTGTGGTTTGAATATAGAAATTCTAAAGAAACGAATAAGAAATAAATTTGGAAATGTAGATTAGGTCCTGATTTTGAAGGAGGACCTGAATTTAAGGAGCATATGCTTCAAGAGTGGTCCTCCTCAAACATAGAGACATAATTGATAAAATAAAAGAAATTGAAACCATAGTTAAAATTTCAATGACAACATTGTTTGTTGTTGAGACAAAGACAGATATTTAGACTAAAAGTGAAAAGTTCGCTATTAAAATTTTTATGAGTACTGCACCAAATATTAAGATGTTTAAATGCAAATTGGTTATAGCAATATTTTTAGCCAAAAAAAGTCCTCATCTTGTGACTAGTAAGTCATTGCAAGTGAAATGTAGTTCATATTTTAAAAAATAATTATTCTTTCTCTCTGCTCTTGCCCTGGTCTTCAGAGGTATTTATCTGCCTAAAGGAAGATTTTCTTTTCATTTCTTTTTTTTTTTCTTCTTGTTTTCAGAAAATAGACAAATAGATGAATCTAGGTGATACTAAGTTTTTGACATTCAAAGAATTTTCAGTGTTCCAAACCCAGTCATTGTCAGAAAAAAGGATTCATTAATTTTCTTTTCTTCCCTGCTTGTCATGCAATAAGCCAAATTGGATAGTCTAGATCAATAGTTCTCAAATTTAGCATTTATCAGAACCATTTGGAAGGCTTACTAAAACAAATATTGTTGAAACCAATGGCCAGAGTTTCCTGGAGTGGGGCTCTAGAATTTGCATTTAATGACATTGCCCAGCTGATGTTGATAGCTGCTGGTCTGTAGACCACATTTGAGAACTACAGTTCTAGATCATAGAGTTTAAGTAATGGAGATCTGGACAAGGAATGTCCCTGAATGACAACAGAATGAAAGGAGAAAGTGGAGAAGAAAAATAAAGTGTTTATCCATATATCTCAATTTATCCTTCTTTTGGGGAAGTCTGCAAAGATGCTGCTTCATAGGCTGTATTTAACCAACCTGGGGTGCAGCCCAGTTGCAATAAGCTTGGCAGAACAATGTGGTCAAAAAGAGGGGCTGAGATCAACTTTGCCCATGCCACTCAACAGTTTCCCTGTGGCACAGGCTAGATATGGAAGCATCTGCAAGTCTGTTCAGGAGCTTTCCAGAACGTGTCACTGTGGAGGGAATGAGGTGACTCTAAAAGGAGCAATGTAGATGGAGCATACACATTATGGACAAAAGTGAGACATACTCAGACATAGAGGGGTCTAAGCCAAGAGAGGCTGAAACACTACTGGGCCCCAAATAAGACTGTACTATACTGATCCTAAGCGATGGTAGCCAGAGACTTCATCTTAGGATACAAGCAGGGTAGGAAGCACACAAGTGGTCAAGCAGCATTGCCCACGCATGTCTGAGGATTCCACGTCTTTCCCTCCACTATGGTGTTACCCATGTGTGTTCATATGGTATATGGTATGTAGGGGGTATGTATGTAAGCCATATCCTACTGTCTCATATGCCTGTATGCCACCTTAGAAAAGGAGGGAGAGTGAGGATCTGAATGTTTTTATCCAAAAGAAACTAAAATACTTACTTAAAGAACTATTACAGTGATTTAATAACCTTAAGTTTAAGCAGGTTGAATTGAAATTAATTTCTGCATGCTCCCTCCCCCCTTCCATTAACTCATGGGTAGGAGCTCTTGAGCAACAGAGCAATGATAGATGAAACAAATAACATACTTTCTCTTCACCTCAAAATCGTAGCGTAAGATAAAAATGACAACACCATGACATAGGCCTTTGAACTGGTAAGTAATACAAAATGAAGAATAAGAGATATTTATTGAGGGGCTGGAACATGTAAGAAATTGGGCTGAGTGCCACATGTTCTAAGCAATACCTGATGACTTATGGAATGGCAGAGACAATAGTCCTGTAGGGGCATAGAGGGTGGGGGTTGGAGGAATGGGGGAGGAACCTCATTTCCAACTGGGGCTTTCACAGACTTACAAAGTGCTGGAGATCTGTAGAGCCTGAGCCTCTAGGGCAAAGAATTTGGATTTATTTTGCAGAGAATGAAGAGCTAGTGAAGACTTATGAGCAAGGGACTAACAATAAAAATCAGCGTTTAGGAGGAACAGCAGTAAGAAAGAACAGTTAGGAGGATGCTGCAATGCCCACACCTGAGATACAATCACTTGGATTAGGGTAATGCCAGATGAAAACATTACAAAGAAAAAAACCTTCTGTTGGTGCCCAAATAGAGGAAAGGTTAATAACGATAATGGGCTGCCGTATTGATCTGTAAAAATGAAGACAAGAGAAAAAGATACTGGCTTTACTTTTAGACATATTGGTGTTGTGAGAATGTAGAACCTGAGCTTGAAAAAGCAATATTCAGTTGGAGATAGGCATCACAGCCGTTCAGGGTCACCTAGTATCAGTCCTTCCTGGCTTCATGACCTATGGTCAGCTGTTCCCTCCTTGAACACTTTTTGGGCTAACTGCTTGTTATGTTTTGTGTGAGATCTTTTCATTTATATTCTAATTTTCATTCTATTTTTTCAAGTTTTTTTTAACCTGCAACTAGTAACTAGTATTTCTTTTTTTCCTAAAACAATAATGATTAATTTATTTCCTCTTTCATGTGCAAACTTTCTAATGTTTTGAAAAGTTAAGATTTCCTCCAAACTCACTGCTTTCTCTTCTCCAAGTTGACACTTGCAATTGTCAATTATTAGGTCACTATGTTCAGTCCTGTCATCTTACCGTGGATCTCCTTTAGCCTGTGGGGTCCCAAACAACCCCAGACTCTGATATAGCCTGAGCAGCCCAGAGCACACAGCATCTAGTAGCTTCCTTGCCCTGGCAGCAGCCCTGTTTTTACTAATGCAGCTTAATTTTGTCTCTCCCGCCCCCTTTTTTTGGCCACCACTTCAGTCTGTTGGCTCTTGTTGAGCATGTGGACATTTTCTTGGATGTATTAACTAAATATGTGAAAATACATGAGAACTCCCAGATGGAGGAAAACAGTGTAGTCAGCTGGAAGCTTGCCCTCACAGAGCAAATGTGTAGGGAAGATAAAGGACCTCGAAAGCCCACATTCAGGGAAGCCAGGGTAATGGGGAATCACATTTAGTGAAACAGGAGGCAAGAGGTGCCAAATGGTCTTTCTTGATCCCTCAGCCAAGCACTCATTGAGAGTAGGTACACTATGCAAAGAGCACGGGTATTTAAGATTTTTCTATGAGGAAAAAACACAATAGAAACAAACTTTATAGTGGATTATTTCTGGATAAAAAGTACTTTAAACATTTGACTTATTTTAAATCATTGAGTCTTAGTTTTACGTGGACATTTATATTTTCCTTTGCAATCAAGTTCATTTGCTCATTGTGAATATAGCTATTTGAGTTAAACATGTGCATTAGCAAATCAACAAATTATAATAATCTCTTCTTATTTTTTTTCTCTCCCTACTGTGCATGGGAAGTTTTGTTTTCTTTTTGGTGCTATCAAGCTTTAAAAACAGTAGCAGGTATACTAATTGTGTGCATTTCACAAAAGACTGAATAGAGTTCTTTTATAAATGAAAACATGAAACAACTTTTAAACTGTGGAATGTGATGGTCAATCATTTTTACATTTGTTATGTTAAATGACTTCTGGTTGCATCACTGACCACATGATGGTTCTTGTATCAGTGGGCTGGAGATTTTCTATGCTCTGCTTTTCTCTCTCCATTCCCTGGTTCATAGTATTCTTTTTGTGGAGTTTTGTGGAGAGTGTCCTCTATCACCTACTTGTTTGCTCAAATTCTACTCATCCTCCAAGGCCCAGCTCCATTATGTCCATTACGTAGCTTTCCTTAAACACCAGGCTAGGAACTGATCTTTTTCTACTCCAAGTCCCTAGAAGCATGGTTTTGGGGGTACTATTCCCACAGCACTTTGCATATTCTGTCTTGAGTTATAATGACTTTTATGAGCGCCTTTTTTTTTTCTTCTTGTCTAACTCTAAGTTCCTGGAGAGAAAGTGTTAACTTTTCTCTATTATTTTATCTCACATAGTGTCTTGCACAACAGGAAGAGCTCAACATATATTGATTACCACAAATAAGTTTCAATTTACTCCATATAACAAATGTAACAGGCAGTTAGTCTTAGAGATGCCATCTAAAGAATAACGAGCAGAACAAAATAACATTCTGAATAGAAACTACTACTTTCATGAGAAACGAAACCAGATTTGGAAACGGTAAATAGTCCTTTTGCTGATGGCATTTTAAGCTGTTTCCAGCTCTTTGGCCAATGAATCTGCAAGAAGGGACTGAATGAAAAGAATTATTGTCCCACTCCAGGGACAAGGCCCTTATTCTTTCTTTTCCAAGCATCCTGACCCAGATGGAGTTGTCAGTGGAATGAATTTAAGGGGAACTAAAGCATGTCACTCTTTAGTCTAAAATGATTTCTCCAATAGCCATCTAACCTCACCATTGGAGCATATGATAGAATATGCTCAGAAACTTTCCTTATAAAAGACCAGGTGTTACTCAGAAGCAATAAGAAAAAGCCACAGGCATTGGGGGTCCACAGTACCACATCTGCAGGGGTAGGTCCCAAAGCAGGGCAGGATTTGGGCCAGGGCAGGAGTGAACCATCTGTGTCAGGAAAGCTCTGGAACACAGAGTTCTATAGCAGAGATGCTTAAGGAGCCAGGGACTGTGGGAAAAGGATGAAGGCACCAGCCACAGACAGAAACCCAGAGTAATCAAAAGTAAACTTGTCTCCTCTATGGTTTTCCCCTAGGGTTTGTCCAGAGTTTGGTGCATGATAAGGAACTTCACTCAGAGATTGAGCTTACCTTTATGTCAGTGTGATTTTTCCTCCCAGAAGATGTGTAAACATACTTAAACATGTAATACCCATGTTTCTCATGGTGGCCTTTATACGTTATCTACAAAGACATAACATTATATTAAGATGTGTTTATATCATATTAAGTTTTCTGGTTCTCTTTTTGGTTGTACAAGACATTCTTTAACTTAGGTGAAGTCAAATTCTGCCTCTGACAAATGGTAGTGCTTCTTATAACCATAGGAGAGCATGTATCAGCCAGCTTCTAAGGATAAAACTTGTCCCTTTCTTTTCTACATGCCTGTAAATCTGTTTTCCCTAAGGATGACTATCAACTGCTCTCTCTCTCTCTCTCGCAGGGTGTATTAATTTTATTACCAAATTTCAATGGAAATGGAGTCTTTGGAAATATTTTCAGGTGGAGGGCCTTGTAAGGATTAGGAGAAATGCAGGTTTTACAGTATTCATGTCTGATATCTAACTGGAAAAACTCACAGCATGAACATTCAGGCTCTCTTATGTTTGCAGCACTTGCCTTTGTAATTTTCAGCTGAGATAAAGGACAGAAGATTGTTAGGTCCTAGAACAGAATTTTCTGAGACTGCTGTGAGAAACCATGGTAGGCTGCAATTTGGTGACATGAAATGCTGAGGGTACTTGTTTAATTTTCTGGATGCATATGGACAACTAACCCCACATAAACATAAGATTTGTTAACTCCCCGCCCTTTGCTTTCTCCCTCATTTGTTGTTTTGTTCTCATGTACGTGTGTGGGGAAAATGGTTTGCTAATAATACACCAGAAGTCTTACTCACTTCTCCCTCTGAAGAAATAAATCACAGTGAAGAGAAACAAATCCCAATTCAGAATGTTTCTCTCTTCTATCACACATTGTGTGAATTAAGTGCCAAAATTACGTTGTATAATTTTGCATCTGCGTTCTAAGTGCGCAAGAATATTTTGACAGTTAAAAATTTCCTCTCATGACTTTTTTCTTTACAGAGTTGAAATAGGTTTATTTGAGAAGAATAATTCTGTTTACCCTCTGTTCTTCCACACAGTCTTCCTTAGTTTTCTCAGTCTGTGGTTGAAATGTCTGGAAGGGAACAAAAAATAAAACTTCACCAAACATTCCATTCTTTCATCCACTTGTGCACACAATAATTGTCTCATTTATTTTTCTCTGACTGGGTTGTACTATTCAGTGTGGAAAATCATTCCAACCAAAGAAGATGCATACATTACAGTCATATTTATGTTAGTCCTTGCAGAAGAGGGAGCCCGTATTCCTCCTCCAGAGGGAGACAAGGCCATCTCCATTATAGAACCATATTCAGGCACAGGAGCATTGCCAGGCTGGGGGAGGGGTGCCACTCCAGATGTGGAAGCATGGATGTCTCTGATATCAACTGAAAAAGAAGTTTTCACTGGCACATGGAGAGTTGTTCAGTATCAGCGAACCGAAATCAGAATCTGATAATGTGGATTGTATGTGTGTATTGATTGTATAAGTTTAGTAATTGCTGTATGAACAAAGAACTGATGTTGCTAATGGTCCAGCAAGAGTAAAACCATAGCCCTGTATGTAAGGGTTAGGATCACACCCAGGAATGGGACTTTGTTGTTGCCAGTCACCTGAGCAGAGATTTCTTTCAGGGAAAGGAAAATGCAATGGCCTATGTATCGGGACAAATACTTTCTCTTGATCTGATATGAAAGTGTCCAAAGATCTTGAGAATACCTGGGGTGAGAGGCAGCTATTGAAGTGCAGAAATGCCAGGAACTAGAAAGGAATAGCTACAGGCAGCTTGTTCCAGGCTTTGGGGATAAAATTTAGGTGTCACAGGAGAGCATTCAGAAGAGGACCTGAGAATTTTGGAGCAAGCCTGCTGTGGAAGAACAGACATAATTTTTTTAGTCCCAGTATTTTTATTTTCTTATTTATTTTTGAAATTCCTAGGTTATCTCAGATTTGAGAAGAGGAACCAATGGGTGGGATTAGTTTGTGTTTAAATGCATGTGCTAAAGTAGAAGCAGGCATCATGGTGGTATCAGTCATAGAAGAGAGAAACCCTCAAGAGAAAGATGAAATAAAAAGGTCTTATCTACCTAGAAAGTATTCTTCCTGAATAAACTTTAATGTTCTATATTTTTATGCAATAAGATCTAGGCAATTATCCTTTCGGATATTGTACTTCTGCTCTCTCTGGGATGACCTCTACAAACTACATTTCCCAAGCTCCTTTGCCATCTGGGTTCAGTCTGGGTTTGGATGATGGGAGGCCTAGCTTGAGCTTGAAGGGTAGAAGGAGAGCAACCAAGGCTCTCTCTGGGGTTGCATCTCTGGGATGGACATACCTCTTTTGTGGTCCTATATTTGTTGCCCCCCCCCCCCTCAGGGCACAGAGAACAGCACCTCCTTCCTTGTTTCTTCAGCCCAAGGGGTGCTAGTAGCTTCAATTTTGGGTTGCCTCACCACCCTTGATTTGCTCTTTCTCTTTGTCCTATTACTTTATAATTATCCTCCAAATAAAATCCCTCTATTGAACACCCACCCTATTGTGGGTTTTATTTTCCTGACAGGACGCTGACTGATAAAATTATCTTAGAAATAAATTCAATACTTTACTAAAAGTGTGCTATTGGCTTGGCTCCAAGGCAGATCTGCCTAACATTCCATTACATGCTAGAAACAAAACTAGCTTGTCAATAATACCAATATTTACATAGCACTTTACAGTTTGTAAGCTATAAAATTTATATCTACATAGGCAGTAGAAGAAACAAAGTTGCCTACGCTTAAAGTGGTGGTAGTTGTCGAAGTGAAGGAGATATTTTAACTGAATCCTCAGTCTCAAAGTTCCAGGGTTAAAATAATAAATTTTTAAGTCGCCTGCTATATGCAAAAAAAAATAATAAGAGGAAATGTTCCTGAATTTTACATGAAGTACCTTCAAGGCATATTTTATAATTCAATCCATTATTGACATTTTTTCTTATGTTGGTTCTTCTATTAGCCTGTGCATGTAAATTTAGATCATTGTATCATTTCTCAAAAGTATCAACACTGTGAAAATAATTCTGAATATGAGGCTACAGAAAAGAGAAACCTAAAAATGAGATGGGTAGATATTAAACAAGAGAAAAAAAAAAACCCAACAGGTTGGGGTATTCGGAATCTTCTTATAGAACACACATACGCATGAATTAAAAACTATACTCGGTAAGATAGAATACTTTAATATAGTTCATGATAATCATGAACTTACAACAAAGTAACTTAGAGTCTTTGTAGTCTACTGCATGTTGATGAATATTAATTGAATTGCATGGCCCAATAACCATCTTTTCTCCCATTTTCAAGTTTTATTTTTGAAGGAAACCAAAATGTCACCCTCAAAATATGCTTCTTTGACATAAAAGTTATTTTGAACTGGGGGTACCTGGGTGGCTCAGTTGGTTAAGCATCTGACCCTTGACTGGCTCAGGTCATGATCTCATGGTTCATGAGTTTGAGCCCCATGTTGGGCTCTGTGCTGATAGTGCAAGATCCTGTCCCCCTCTTCCTCTGCCCCTCCTCTGTGTTCGCTCTCTCTCAAAATAAATAAATAAACAAAAAAAATTATTTTGAACTGAAGGCAATTAAGAAGTAGAAAATGCAGAATAAGTTCCCCTTTTCAGCCTCAAGGCAGGAAACCAATTCTCCTGTTACTGGAGATAGACTCTTATCAGTTCAGAGATGGCATCAGAAGAATCCACAGGAAATTTTGTTAAACTAACTTAATCCTCCTCATTAAGGAAGATAAGGACTACCTAGCCCTTATTGGACTACTAACCCAAACCCCTTTGTCTTACCAAATTGTCACAAATTGTTTGTCTAAAAGGTATAAAGGCTTCCTGCTTTGGTCACCTCTTTGGGTCTTCATTCTCTTGTGAAGGCTTCCATGTGCATGTAGAAATTTAATAACATTTGTGTGCTTTTCTCCTGTTAATCTGTTTCTGTCAGTTTAATTTGCCGACTGAGCCACAGACCCAAAGAGGGTTGAAGAAAACTTTTCTCCCCCTACAGTTTGAATCTGGATTGTGATTCCAAAACAGATGTGAGTGACTCAGTCTATTCTAATTTCTGATACCACAATCTATTATTAAACAATTGGGGTAATTGCTCAAATGAGATCTATATATCTGGGAGAAAACATTACATTTAGCCATTCATAATTACAAATTTTGTCTCTATGTCCTTGCTGAGCCTCTTTCATCTGAAAGACGCATCCCTCCCTTCTTCCCCCACATTCACTTTGCAATTCTCCCACGCTTGAATGTGGCCCTGTAATGGAGAAGGCATTGTGTCTCCCTCTGGGAAGGATGCTGGCTCCCTCTCTTGACCAGTGGTAACTGGATTGATATTGACATAACATTTACTGGAAAATGGTCACAGGGTGCCATTCCAGCTGTTCCTGGGAATACGTTGCTCGAAATAGATTTGTCCTCAGCTGGCGGGATTGAGCTGGGTCAGCAAGACCCACTCAACCCCCGTCACGCCTAAGCACATGCCTCTGTGGTGATGATTGAGCTGAGTTGTGTGGATTGGGGCTGGCAGATGTCTATTTTAAGCAGTATAGCCCACCACAGGACTGTGAAAGGATATGTGCTAAGAGGGGCCATGCTTTCCTCAACTTCTGCTGTCCTCACTAGATGGTATGGTTCATGCTCATCACTGGATTACCTAACTGGTCACTCACTTGCTCAAGACCTATATTTAAGTACTTCCAGCAACAGGATGACTACTTATTTCCATACTCTCCAACTGGAATGGTTGCTCTGAAAAGCTAGGATGCTTTTCATACATTATCTAATTAGCACTGTGTCTACACTATAGAAAATATTGGTAGCACTCAGCATTTTCACAAGATAATTTAGTCACATCCTGAGTACCCATCTGGGTGAATCAGAGGGAAGAAAAGATACAAAAGGAAATTGCAGTTCAATTTATGTTAAACCTAGGGGTCCTTTTTCCCATTTTTAGCCTTGCTGATGAAGTGAAAATCATTAGCAGCATTTCACAGTGTTGGGGTGTTGCAAGAATTACAGGAAAGGTCTGGTTTTCTTCCATTACCATGTATATACAAAATGTAGTTGGTCAGCCTTAAAACAATCAGGTCAGGTTTTTTTTTTTTTTTCAGTTTTAAAATATTGAGAAGTTCTTTAGCTATAATTTGGGTCCCTGCGCATTTACTGATTAAAATTAGCTGATTTGAAACACTGTGGCTGGCTATTAATTTTCTCAAAAACAACTCTTTTTGGCATTTCTTAAAAGGCAACATGTTGACATTTTGTAATTCAGCACATGTTCATTGAGGTCCTCCTTGGTGTTAGACATTCTGTCAAGTGTTGGATGCTTTCTGTTTGCTTGGTACTTTATTACAACTAAACTAAGTAGGGGTTACTTATTTAAACAACATGCTTTAAAAAAAATAGAGCAAGAGATACTATGATGCATATAACTGAATTGGTAAATGCTTACTGGTGCTGCCCAGGTCACGCTGAAAAGAAGGAGTCCCAAACAAACAATTTGCATCTTCGAGACTCTCTGCAAAAAGACAATAATATTTTACCCTAAAGCAACGTCAATTATGAGCTGCAGTCCTAATAATAAATAAAACACAAAAGTATACACAAACATCCTTCCTCCAATTGTCCATTTTCGTATTTAAAAAAAAAGTATAATTTATATCCAAGTGTAGGTACTTTGAGAGCTTTCACATGTCTAATTATAATGTCAAAATGAAAACTGTCCAATGCTATTAAAACAAGTCAGTTGATAGAAATGAAATGTATATGTGTGTGTGTGTGTACACATAACAAGTAAATATATATATATTTATTTATATATATTTATATTTATATATTGTTCTATTGTCAGCCCAAACTTTTCCCTTTTGTTTTTAGAGAGAGATCATTTAATTTGATTATTTGTTTAACTCATAATAAGTTAGTGTAACAACTCAGATTCCTCACATGAGGGCCAGCATAGCAGGCTCCACTGTGAGGAATAAACTCTTCTCTGCTACCAGGATGGTTCCCCAATACAGGTCCTTATATTCATCAGCAGTATATCTGAGCAAGTAGCCATCTGTGGGCTCCAGAGTGAAACAATTTATGTAATCCTTATATTAGTAGCTAAAATGCATTAAACTCTAAAACGAGCCACCACTGTCCTAAAATTCTCTATATATTCAATTAATGGAGTCTCAAAACAACCCTATGAGTTGGATGGCATTACTATTCCTGTTTTAGATTAGGAAATAGACCCAGAAAGTCAAATAAATTTGCCCCTGAATTCCCAGGGGGCAGAACTGGGATTAGTACCCAGGCAATGTAACCATAGAGACAGTGTTCTTAATAGAGTCTATGCCGTCTTGAGTAAGTTTTTATTCTTGCATCTTATTACAGAAAAATCTACACGTAGTTGATTTAAAGGCAAACAATAATTTATATTGAGCTCAAAAAATTATGTTTGAACATTACCATTTAGCTAGGGATAAAGGTACATGTTTACACTTTGGCGAATATAGTCAGAGGATCTAGTGGGCCCATTTAAGTCAAGTAGCCATTATTGGAAAAAAAAAAGTCAATATAACTGGATTACTAATCTGTTGATTTTTAATGAATATTAAGTATTTTTCTGACTACCACACAGAAATATAGCAACCAATATGAGAAATAAAAAAATTTACACCACTCTTTGAGATCATTTGGGAAAACACTTTTAATGGGAAAAATAATCTAAACACTGTGCAATCTTTAAATATTTCAAGGTAAAAATTTTCATTTGGAGAAATAATGTAACTATTAAATATATTCTAAAATTCTAGGCTATTCTCTTCTAAATTAATACAATTTTCAGAATCTTAATTCTAGCTATAATTTAGCCATCCAAGCATTTTAGAAATCAGCACAAGTCATTTATCAAATGACTTAATGCTGATCAGTAAAATATCTGCACAGATGAGGTTTAAAACTATGCATATGATCACATTATCCTTATTCTGGTTTGTAAGTGAAGGTCTAGAGTAAAAGCAGAGTTTTTGAGTTATTGTGGGTCTCGATAATGCTAACACTTAAACCAAAGAGGAAGTTGTACCAAGCCATCAATTTTAGTTGATAATTTCCAGAACTTGGTAACACATTTTATATTTTATAAGCCAAAGCACTAAATATTACACAGTTATGCTGAGTAGGGAATACTTTCAGTATACATTTATTTTCAAAAGCAATGTCCCTACCTGGATGGCATAGATCTTGAAAATGTAAACTACATTATAAAGCTATTTGCTATCAAGAATATCAAGAGAGCCAAATTACCTGGTATCTTTTACCTTCAGAATACCTGGCTTCTTCCACAGGATTAGCAGTCTCTGGGCAAATTTTGCTGAAATTTAAAGTTTGTTAGAATTCCCAATGGCCAATCAGCATAGACTCACTTAGCACTAACAAACAATTTGTTACCAGTGCCCACAGATAACCATAGGGGGCAAAGTAATTTTAATCTAAAAATGTTTTTGTGGTGAAAAGCTGCTATCAAATGTTCCAGAAAGTAGGATAAACAGAAAATATAAATACCCCAGTTTGGTGTATGATGTTGTCAGATAATTAAAATTGATTTCAGAACTATTGAATAGGACTCTCTGAATAACTAACAAGTGCATAAGTGGAAAACATCTTAGCTATCCTTTTGTGTAGAAAGTTTATAATTTCAATTCTGTCTGAATTAAATTTAGCAACATTCAACAAAAATGTATTGAGTGCCTATTTATGTGACAGACACTGGGGAAACAGCAGTAAGTGAAGGAGCAGAAAAAATCCTGTATTCTTGGAGCTTATAATCTGGTGGGGAGGCTGACAATGAACAAGACAAATAAGTAAAATATATAGATAAGTCAGAGAAGAGATGACAAACACTGGGGGTGGGGACATGGGGACACTAGATTGAAATACTAGATAGGGAGTTCCTGGGAAGGTGACTTTTGAGTAAAGACCTATAAACATCTAACATCTAGGGGGAGAAGAAGAACATCTAGGGAGAAAAAAGAGAAGAGGAGAACCCAAGAGACAAGAGCCTGCTGACTTCTTCCAGACACAGAAAAGATGGCAGTTTGGCTGGAAAGACTGAATGAAGTCAATAGTGGGAAATGAGGTCAAAAAGGTAGTTGATGGCAGATGACATAGGGCCTATAGATCATTGTAAGGCTCTTGACTTTACCCTCAGTGAGAAGGAACCCTTGGAGGTTTGGGGCAGAGCAGTAACTGAAGTAAGGGAAGGCAGAGATGGGCTAGGAAGCTCTTGAGGAAATCCAGGAAAATGATGATTAGGACTTGAATCAGAGTGATGACAGAAAGGATTGGGGGAACTGGTCAAGTTCTGGATATATTTTGAAATTAAAGCCAATAGGACTTGCTGACATACCAGATGTGGATTATGACAGAAAATCAATAACCAAGGATGATTCTGAAGGTTTTTGTTTTGAGCAACTGGAAGAAGGAAGTTGCCTTTTACTGATATAGGGGAAATGGCAGAAGTGGTTTTGGGAGAAACGTTGAGAGTTTGGGTTTGGATATGAATGTTATAGAATGGTCTACTTAAGACATTGACTTTCTCCAAGAAACAAGTAGCACACCCATATTAGAATACACCTTTCTGGGGAAATTGCCTGCTCACCTCTTTTGCCCCATCTGTCTGCCAAAATAATGATTGCAATAATTCAGGCTAAAAATATTATAGTACCTGGGGGGATAATTTACATTAGAACTACATGTGAAGCATCAATGAATGATAATGTAAGAATTATTTAATTCAAACCAAATGATAAGAATTATCTTTGGCTAAACACAATTTTAACAAACTATAAATTATATATAATGAGATTTAAATAAACTCCCAATTTCTCCTAACTTCCCAAGCAGACAAAAACCAAAATAAAACAAACAAAACAGCCCTTGGATAGCTTTAGCTGAGAGAATGGTGTCTTTTCTAGTTTAGGCTGAATTCCTATTTTTGTTTTGTCCAAATTCTGCAGATCCTTTTTGAGTGTCTGGAGCTGGTTTTTGAAACACTTGCTAGGACTAGAATTTAGGCTCTTGGACTGAAGCCACTGTTGATTCACTACCATTCAACCATGGATTTTAGAATATTTGGGTATTGTCACTGACAATGGGGACATTTAACACTAGTAGCTTTGGAGTCAAACAGACCTGAGTTTAAATACTGTCTCCACCACTTGTTTGTTATGGTCAGTGGCTTATGCAACTAAATCGAACTCTTTGAGCCTCAAATTCTTTGTCTGAAAATGAGGAGTATAGTAACAAGCTAAACTTTAATTGAATGATTACTATGATCCAAGCATTATTCTGAATATGGTCCGTTAACTCATGTGACGTTTGCAGCAACTCTATGATGTAAGTGCTGTTATTATCATCCTGACTTTAGCAATGAGTCATAGAGCGGTTAAGTGACTTGCTTAGGTTCACATATGTAGCAAGTATAAAAAGCCTGAAAGGGAGGTTTGAAAATCACTGCACTATACTATTTCATAAGGTCATCATAAACATTAAATTAACAAATGTCTTCAAGATGTTTAGCCAGGTACCTAATTCGATATTAAATGATAAATGATGGCTACCCACTTAACCCATTCTTCCTATCATTAAATAATCATCTGGTACTCAAATGACATTTTTCTGTATCTCCTTTCTGTCTTCTGTTTATTTCCTTACCATGTCTCCTTGTATGAGTTGATGAGAGGAACAAAAGCAATGAAACATTGAAAGAAATATTAAAGTTGAAGCTTAAGAGGATCTGGTGGGCTACTTCTCTAATCATAAGTTATAATGACCAGAATTTCAGCAAAGTGCAAATGATTTGGGTGATATAGAAGGAAGCTAACAAGGAAATAGAAGTAAAGAAAAGGAAATGACAAGCAAAAATGTATAGTCAACCTCAAGACTGATACTAAGCTGTATAAGCAGTAGACAGATGTGAATACCACTAAAATGCTCATTTTAAGGGCACCTGGGTGGCTCAGTCAGTTAGCATCCAACTTTGTTCTGCTCAGGTCATGATCTTGCAATTCACGGGTTTGAGCCCTGCGTGGGTCTCTGTGCTGACAGCTCGGTGCCTGGAGCCTGCGTCAGATTCTGTGTCTCCCTCTTACTCTGCCCCTTCCCTGCTCTATCTCGATAAACATTTTTTTAAATGCTTATTTTAATATTCTATTAAAGCAATGAATTATTCAGGATTTCTGTAATAATTAGCAAGTTTGCAGTGTTTACAGGTTTTACATTCTTCTATAATATTAACTTTATACTTTTTTTTTTAAAGTTTATTTATTTATTTTGAGAGAGAGAGAGTGTGTGTGAGTTGCGGGTGGGGAGGATTGGCAGAAAGAGAGGGAGACAGAGAATTCCAAGCAGGCACTGTGGTGTCAGTGCAATCCTGACTTGGAGCTCTAACCCATAAATCCTGCGATCATGACCTGAGCGGAAGGGAAAAGTCAGTCGCTTAACCAACTGAGCCACCCA